ATTTGTTGAGACTGTTGCCGCCATATCTTCCCCGCCCCCATACAACCTACCATTCTTCAGTGAAATTCTAGCTTCAAAGGATGTATCAAGGAAACTTGATCAAGGAAACCTTTTCAATATCAGTTGAATTAATATATTAAAGAGACAATTTGGGACAATGGTTAACAATTCAGAAACTGAGCTCTTTTTCTGTCATCTCTTCTGAAAGACTTATTTAATGAAGCAATCAAACCTGTCTCATCTACAGTAAATTAGATCTGTCTAAGTGGGTTTCAACTAGCTTGAAATCATGAATAGTGCCTCCTCTCCATGTAAATCCATGCAAGCTTGTACATATCTTATGCTGGCTTCCATGCTGTTGTTGTTAGGTGCCTTCTAGTCATTTTTGACTTACAGTGACTTTAAGTTGAACCTATCATAAAGTTTTCTTAGCAAGTTTCTTCAGAGGGTGTTTGCCACTGCTATCCTCTGAGGCTGAGAGTGTGACTTGTCCAAGGCTACCTAGGGAATATTTATGATTAAGCAGGGATTTGAACCCTGATCTGCAGAGTTGTAGTCCAAAGCTCAAACTACTAAACTACACTGGCTGCCATGTACCTTTTTTTTTAAACTGTGGGGGGTTGCAGACTGCCAGAAATAGTGCAAATTGAGTCCACTTTTAGGGTTAGGGTTAGGGTTAGTGCTAGGGAACCATGGGAATTGTTTTTTTTCTGAGACATTGAGTCTTCTCTGTCAGGGAGCTCTGGTGCCACAATAAAATACAGTCTCCCTGATTCCCTAACCCTAACCCTAACCCTAAAAGTGGACTCAATTTGCACTATTTATGGCAGTCTGCAACCCCCCTGTGTCTTCTTTGATGCCTTACATCCCCATGTTTTGCCCTTACAGAGAGACTGAGATGGGGGAAAGATAGAACCCTTGTCTAAGCAACAGCCCTCACAAGTGGCTCCTAGCCAGGAAACAGTTAATAAAACTCAGAGGTTGTAGCACAATTCATAAGTATGACCCAGAGGAATAGATAGATTAGAAATTCAAAACATGGAGCAAAACAATGGCACAGCTAGCTCCTCAATAAGCAATTGCAATGTGCTCTGTAGATAGAGCCTTTAATGGGGAGGATGTGTAGTGTTTTTTATTTCACTATGTTTTAAATGCCTTTTAATGCTGTTTTAACTTGTGTTTTTAAATTAGTTTAATTTTATTTTAACTTTTATACTGAGGTTGGGTTTTTCATTGTGTTTTTAAGGAGTTGTGCACCACTCTGAGTTCCCTACCATGAGAAAGATGGGATATAAAATATAAAATTTATAAAATAAATAAATAAATAAATAAAACTCCATTTCAAAAGTTATAGGGGCATGGCTTTAGAAGTGGCAACTAGATTGCGAAGTCAATGTGAGAAGTCCATCTACTTGCTATGTAACTATATGGATAGATTTGCTGCAAATTTGCATACCCTCCCTCCACTCCATCCCATGTCATCTGGGGGAGAGATGCAGGCCCAGCTCCATTGGGCCTAACCTAAGAAGAAGAACCCTCACTTTTTAAGGGGCGGGTGAGTTTCGGGATTTTTAGGTTTTGTTTACAGTGTATTAACATATATGTATGGAAATTTTAATGTTGTAAGCCGCCCCGATTGCTCTGCAGAGGGGCGGGATATAAATAAATAAATTATTATTATTATTATTATTATTATTATTATTATTATTATTATTATTAGTTTCACCCAGTGGAACAGAAAGTTGACTCAGGTCTGTATGAAACTGTTTTTCTGCTGAAGAGAGGAGAACCGAGAAAAACAGGTTGCACAAGGTTTCAAGACAGGACTGACCACCTCTCTTATTCTCAGGTTTATATTTTCTCCTCCTTATACCTGCCCAGGTTCCACTCATGTGAATTGCAGTTGCTCCTATGCATTTCTTTATTGGACTGTGGTGAAAAGATTGACTGGCAGCCACAAAAGTTTTTTTTGGGGGGGGGGAGTATCCAGGAGCAAACTGTGGGAGGATTATTACTGTATGTTTGAAGATGACAAAGATTTTGCAAGATGGGAATAGTGCAGCTAGAAATTTGAATAAAAGACTTGCTAAAGTTCATACATCCTTGGTTCCGAATGCTAAGCTCAGCATGACCATTATGGTTCCAGGATCATCCAGATGACAGATTCTAATCAACCCTGGGAAATAATTCAATGCTCCCTCCCAGTCACTTACTTTGCTGCTTTTCTAATGGCAGCAAAACAGAGTTCTCTTCTATACCAACAAAATAACCCCTGAAAGCTACAGTATTTTCAGACCTATAACCCAAACCACACAACTGCCAAACAGGGGAGCACAGGACAGGTGGAGAATCCTGCTACACCTCACTATTCTCACTGTTTGACATTCATAAGAGGCAGAACTGAACAAGCTGCAACAGCAAAGAGAAGCAACAGAACTAGGGGACTAGGGAAGGGGGATTAACAATTTGGTCCCTAAGGGTACTTCTTCAGTAGATGCCCTGTGATGTCAATCCACAATGCTTGTTCTAGACGGGTATGATGGGCTCTGATCTTACTAATATTTGAACTCAGAATAAAACAAGTTATTTCCCAATTTAGCTGAGTTTATCAAGACCAGTTATAAATCAAATGCAAGGACAGTGGAAGGAAGTGCATCCATTTTGTAAATCCAAATAACCATGAGGCTGCTGGGTTCTACACCTCAAAATACAGATTAACATGATCTGTATTTGAGCCTTCCACACATGTGAATACCTTGTAGGCACTTGTAAAATGTGTGTATCTCAAAATACATCTTTTAAAACTCCAACTTTGTTGACAAGGCCTAATAGAGAATATTCTGTAGGAAACAACGTAATAGGACTTGCGGGGGGGGGGGGGGCATGCTCTGATCAACAAGAGTTGCATTTTCCCAGCATCTATAAATGCCTACAAAGCAAGGAAATTCCTCAAAACTATGTGCATGAACACCAAGAAGATGTAAATAAATAAGGCGCTTTTGAAGTTCAATGTACATTCCCTCCACGCCCTTCCTACACTACCACTCCTGTTTCTCTTTTCATGAACAAATTTGCTACTTAAAACAAATGCATGCTGTGCTTCACTGAGTATTTAAAAAACATTAAAAACATTAACCTTTGTTTTTAAACACACACCTTTAAAAAGATCATGAGCTAAATTCCTGCTCCTTGCTACAAATTGGCAGACCATACTAAGTACAGTCATCCCTCCGGATTCACTGACTTCCCGTTTGCAGTTTTGAATTTCCGCGGACGGGAAGCCAGGAGGAACAAAATGTCGTGCATTCCTGCGGCACCTGCAGCACTCGTGCAAGACCGCTCAGCTACATTTCAGTTAATTGCCAAGGAAAAACTTGCTTTAAGCAAATTTTAGCCAGCAGTTAGTATAATGATACAAAATTCCCTGAAGGTGTTCCTGTGCAGGTGATACAATGTCAACATGTTAAATTAAGCTTCCTGTCTGGGTATTAAAAGCCAGATTCTGAATGAAGATGCACTAATACAGATACATTTCCCTGGAGGAACACTAATTTACTGCAAGGAAAGCCAATTTTTCAACAATGAACAAAATATATGTAATAAATGCAAGAACTGTGCAAATATTTGGTTGAATAAAAGCCACCTAGCTTGTGATGTATTTAGAATGATATTTAAAATATCTGCCCATTGAAAAACTCAACGCTTTTCAAAGGTCAGACATTTTAATTATGATTCCAATACCTCCAATCTTAAATTACACAGTCCCAACCAGTATTTTTTTTAAAAAAATTAAAAATACAGAAATGTTTTATATAAGATTTCTTATATAAAGAATATGTATCACTGTATCAGAGCAAATTCAGACTTTAAATGCTCTAGTTCATGCCAACTGACCTTATTCATTCTATTTTAGTAACATCCTAGATAGTTTTGCCTTTAGTTTCTTATTATGAACTGGCCAAACATTTTTTTCCGCATCTTCAGTAAGCTAAGATATGCATGAGCCTTTTGCTCATGCACAAAACACCTTTGCTCAACCTAGATGCAACTAGTTTGCTTCCTGTTTCCAGCAGCTAGGATCTTAAACAAATATATCTTAGTATCCTAGCTTATTCCAATCTTACTAGTTTGAATGAAATAAGAAACTATAGCTATCTTCAAGAAACTGATCACTGATTCCAATCCCTGCTCCCACAGGCACTGCATGTTGTTATCTGATACCTGCACACCTATGAGTGATTCATTCCATCTGCAATCTCCATTCTGAGACTGAGTATAACTGCAGACATCATAGCCTAAGATATGGCATTATTTTTGAAATACTTTTTTTCTGTTTCTTCCCCAACCTTTTTTTAACCACTTAGGCCCGAAACAGACAGGCCAAATGAAGCAGCTTCCGGATGCTTTAGGGGCATGGCGTTCAAATGACACATACCTCCAAAGAGGCCAAAAGCCATGCTGAAACCACGCTCCAATCCTTTGGACCAAAGCAAAAAGGAGCTGGGATAATCTAATAGGGTCCCCACCTGCTTGCTGCCGGAGCAGACTTGGGCCCTCTTTTGTGCCCATCTGCTGCAGCCCTTTGTCTACTTTTAGATTCTTGAGAATTCAAAAGCTTGCACTTTGGTTGGTCCCAATAAAGGTATTATCCATTAGATTTTGGGGCCCCTCATACACCAACACAGCCATCTTTGTGTTTAATATATGGTTAACTGGAAACTTTCTGGTCTGACTGTAGCTTACTGCAAAGAAAGAAGTGAATGAGTTGAGTGCATGAACAAAGCATTCATATATATGTCAGCTAAGTATGGGTGTGTATAACTGTATGAATGCAATCTTTGACTTAACTATGATCCAAAACACACTGCAGAAATAATCAAGTCCGAGACCACCTTAACTGCTCTGGCTCAATGCTAGGGAATTCTGGAAACTGTAGTTTTGTGAAACATTTAGTCTTCTCTGTCAGAGAGCCCTGGTGCCACAATAAACTACAATTCCCCAGATTCCCAAACACTGAGCCAGGGCAGTGAAAGCAGATTGAAACTGAATTATTTCTGCAGTGTGTTTTGGACCTATTTCAATCTTTTCCATCCCAGAAGACTTTCCAGATATTGTGAACTGCAATGAATATCATTCATACTATGACATGCTAGATAGGACTGATCAGGTTTGCAGTTGAAAGCATCTGGAAGCTGCCAGGTGAGGAAGATAGATTTATATTTTGCATCTATGCCATCCTGTATTCTCTTTTGTAAGCTGCCTCTTTAATAAAAAGAAGAAATGCATAAAATACACAATGTCCTTCTGCAGTCTTCCTGTCAGATCCTGCCTTCTACTCCAATAACACATTAAATGTTAACTGTGTCTGTCAATAGCAAGGTTTGTGCTATTGATTACCCAAGGCCTTTTCTCTTTGAAGTTCAAAACTCCAATTCTTTACGTGCTTTTAGAAAGGGTTGCAAGATGCACCCTTTCCACCTATCTCTTTATATATGGGGTGGGAACAGTACAGCCCCCCCATGCAGAACTAATCCCAGAATTCCTTGCCACTGTTTAAGCTTGCTAGGGCTGTTGGACAGTATTTTGT